GGTTCTGGGAGGTTCATGGAGCATCTGAGTTCTGGGTTGGTGGGGGGGGGGGCCAGGGGAAATAACCAGAGGGAGAAACCCCCCTTCTCCTGTTCCTCCTCCTCCTCTTTCTCCTCCTCCTCCTTATCATCCTCCTCCTCCTCCTCCTCCTCCTCCTCCTCCTCCTCCTCCTCCTCCTCCTCATTTCTCCGCTCTGCCTCCCCATCCCGTCCTCGTATTGCGCACGTGCTTCCGCTGAGAGGGAGGGCAGCGCGGATGATGATGATGATGATGATGATGATGATGATGATGATGATGATGATGATGATGATGATGATGATGATGATGATGATGATGATGATGATGATGATGATGATGATGATGATGATGATGATGATGATGATGATGATGATGATGATGATGATGATGATGATGATGATGATGATGATGATGATGATGATGATGATGATGATGATGATGACGATGACGATGACGATGACGATGACGATGACGATGATGACGATGACGATGACGATGCCGATGCCGATGCCGATGCCGATGCGGATGCGGATGCGGATGCGGATGCGGATGCGGATGCGGATGCGGATGCGGATGCGGATGCGGATGCGGATGCGGATGCGGATGCGGATGCGGATGCGGATGCGGATGCGGATGCGGATGCGGATGAGGATGAGGATGAGGATGAGGATGAGGATGAGGATGAGGAGGAGGAGGAGGAGGAGGAAAAAAGAACAAAAATATCCCAGTGCGACCCTACCTAGGAGTTGTAGCCTCTAGGAAAGCAACATTAGTTGGAGTGGTAAACGCCGTCCTCATCCTTCTCCTCATCGTCGCGCTGGGGAGTGGTCATGCTATGCCATGCTATGCTATGCTATGCTATGCTATGCTATGCTATGCTATGCTATGCTATGCTATGCTATGCTATGCTATGCTATGCTATGCTGCACTATGCTATGCTGGGCTAGGCTAGGCTATGCTATGCTATGCTGCGCTATGCTATGCTGCGCTATGCTATGCTATGCTATGTGTTTGCTTTGCCTTCGCTTTTGCCTTCACGTTTGCCTTTGTGTTTGCTTTTGCTTGGCACCCAGGGAGCGCAACTGGGGGAACCGCGCGTTTGAGTTTACCTTTGCTGTTGCTTTTGCTTGGCTCCCAGGGGATTGGGGGAACCGCCCGGGGCGGTTTGCACTGCCCGGCCCCTTTAAGCCAAGCGAGTAAGAACCCTTCTAGGCAGAGCCTAGGTAGGGAAAAAAGGGGAGACGTACGGACAACAGCTCACCCCTTTCTCAAGAATGCATGCTCCTAGTCAGGCGGAAGGACAGAATGCGATGAGGGAGTCCCGCAGACTATTGGGGGCCACACTCGGATGCAGAGGGGCCATCATGGGGGACCTTCGAACTGTCTAGGGAAAGTGTGGGAGGATGTGGAAACTGAAGTGGGCCAGCTTGGGTTCCTTGGGCCTTCCCCCTCCCACATCCTTCCATCCATGATTCGTCATTATCCTTTGCTTTTCTTCCATTCGACCGATAGGACAACACTGTATCCCCGCAGTGCTCGTCGGCCTTGTTGTATGGTATTTCCATGTGTTGCCCTCTACACCTCCTCACCTTCCACTCCTCGTTCTCATCCTCCATTCCTGATCCTTCATTCCTCCTTCATTCCTCCTTCAGTCCTCCTCCTCCTCATCCAGTTCTCCTCCTCCTCCTCCGCCTCCTCCTCCCTCCTCCCCCTCCTCCTCCTCCTCCTTCTCCTTCTCCTTCTCCTCCTCCTCCTCCCGCATTCGCCCTCCGTCTCTTCCTCCTCTTCCTTCATTCCCCCCTCCTCCTCCTCCTCCTCCTCCTCCTCCTCCTCCTCCTCCTCCTCCTCCCTCCTCCTCCTCCTCCTCCTCCTCCTCCTCCTCCTCCTCCTCCTCCTCCTCCTCCTCCTCCTCCTCCTCCTCCCTCCTTCCTCCCCCCCCTTTTCCTCGTCCTCCTCCTCCCCCTCCTCCTCCTCCTCCTCCTCCTCCTCCTCCTCCTCCTCCTCCTCCTCCTCCTCCTCATATTCCTCATCCTCATCCTCATCCTCATCCTCATCCTCCTCTTCGTCCGTCTCCTCCTCATCCTCCTTTATTTCTCCTCCTCCTCCGGCATTTCTCATCCCCCTCTTTATCCGTTCTTTCCCCTTGGCTTATACTCTCCACTCCTACTCGCCCTGCTGCTTCTACACCCCTCCTCGCCCTCCCTCCTCCTCATCCTCATCTTCCAGTTATCCTCCTTCTCGTCCTCCTCCTCCTCTTCCTCCGCCTTCTCCTCCTCATCATCATCGTCAGCAGCAACATCATCAGCCGCAGCGGCCACATCATCAGCATTATCATCACAATCATCATCACCGTTCTCTAGCTCCTCCTCCGGTTCCTCCTCCCCGCCTCACCATGTTCTTCATCCTCGTCCGTCTCCTCCTCCTCATCCTCCTCCTTCTCTTCTTCCCGTTATCCTCATCTTACGTTTCTTCCTCCTAATCATCATCAGCAGCATCATCATCGTCAGTCGCATCATCGTCATCAGCAGCAGCATCATCAGCAGCATCATGTTTCTCCTCCTCCTCCTCCTCTTCCGTATCAGCTTCTTCCTCCTCCATTTTTTTCATCATGCTCTTCCTCCTCCTCCGTTTCCTCCTCCTCCTCCTCCATTTCCATCCTCATCGTCTTCCTCATCATGCTCGTCCTCCTTCTCCTCGTCCTCCTCCTCCTCCACCTCTTTCTCATCCTCCTCCCGCATCCTCATCATCCTCCTTTGCATCCTTCTCCTCCTCCTCCTCATCCTCATCCTCCTCATCCTCCTCCTCATCCTCCTCCTCATTCTCCTCCTCCGCATCCTCCGCATCCTCCTCCTCCTCCTCCTCCGCCTTCTCCTCCTCTCCCCATCCCCCCCTCCTCCTCCCCCTCCTTCTCATGATCCTCCTCCTCCTCCTCCTCTCTCCTCCTTACTCTCATCCTCCTCCTCCTCCTTCTCCTCATCTTCCTCCTCCTCCTCCTCATCCCTCCTCCTCATCCTCCTCCTCTTCCTCCTCATCCTCCTCCTCCGCCTCTTCCTCCTCCTCCTCCTCCTCCTCCTCCTCCTCCTCCTCCTCCTCCTCCTCCTCCTCCTCCTCCTCCCCCTCCCCCTCCCTCTCCCCTCCTCCCCCCCTTATCATTCTCCGCCTACTCCTCCTGATCCTCCTCATCCGCCTCCTCCTCATCTTCCTCCTCCTCTTCATCCTCCCCCTGTTCCGCATCCTGCATGCCTCCTCCTCCTTCCCCTGCTCGACCCCTTCTCCAGTGTTGCTTCTCCTCGCACTCCTTTTCCTTCAGAGCTTGGCATCCTCCTCCTCCTCCTCCTCCTCCTCCTCCTCCTCCTCCTCATCATCATCATCATCATCATCCTCATCCTCCTCATCCTTCTCCTCATCCTCCTCCTCCTCATCCTCCTCCTACTCATCCTTCTCCGTGTCGTCCTCCCCCGCTTCGTCTTCGTGATCGTTCTCGTCCTCGTCCTCTTCCTTCTCCTCCTCCTCCTCCTCCGCCTCCTCATCATCATCATCATCACCATCATGAGCATCCTCCTTATCCTCCTCATCCTCCTCATCCTTCCCCCTCCTCCTCCTCCTCTTCATCCTCATCCTCCTCCTCGTCCTCCCCTCCTCCGCCTCCTCCTCCGCCTCCTCATCCTCCTCCCGCATCCTCATCATCCTCCTTTTCCTCCTCCTCCTCCTCCTCCTCCTCCTTCTCCTCATCCTCCTCCTCCTCCTCCTCCTCCTCACTCCTCCTCATCCTCCTCCTTCTCCTCCATTCCTTCTCCTTATAGATAACTCCTTGTCGCACCCGGAGGCCACTTTGTAGGGCGGGCTGTGCGTTTCGCCTGAGACGTCCTCGCCACTGATGACTCTGAAGCTTAAAAAGTGGCCACAGGTTCACAGATGGAGGGCGCGCACATTCGTTTTAAAAATGTGCAAGAGGTTCACGGATTGAGGGTGGGTGGTTTTCAAAATGTGGTTCTCGCCTTAGCGCCGCGCACATTCGTTTTTACAATTTGCAAGAGCTTCACGGATTGAGGGAGGGTGGTATTCAAAATGTGGCTCTCGCCTTAGCGCCGGGAACATTCGTCTCAAAAATTTGCAAGAGCTTCACGGATTGAGGGCGGTTCGTTTTCAAAATGTGGTTCTCGCTTTCGGCCGCGCACACTCTTGTTAAGAATTTGCCAGAGCTTCACGGATTGAGTGCTGGCCGTTTTCAAAATGTGACTCTCGCCTTAGCGCCGCGAACATTCGTTCTAACAAATTGCAAGAACTTCACGGATTGAGGGCGGTTTATTTTCAAAGTGTGGCTCTCGCCCAAGCGCCGCGCACATTTTTAAACAATGTGCAAGAGCTTCACGGATTGAGGGTGGGTGGTTTTCAAAATGTGGCTCTCGCCTTAGCGCCGCGCACATTCGTTTTAACAAGTTGCAAGAGTTTCACAGGTTCCCATGATCAACGCACCAGACATGGTGTTTTGGAAGGATTCAGGATTATGCGAGCGCAACAGTTATGTTGATTCGCTGTGTTGAAGTCTCAAAAATGGCGCGTTGGCGCGATTCTGGATCGTCAAGACGCAGCAGTCAGGTTGATACGTGGCGTTGAAGTCCCGAGAACAATTTTCTGGCACGCGTCCGGATCTTCAAACTGTTGTCTTCCAACGTGGCAGTTCCTTCAATGGAAATGAACCGTTGTAGGGTCCTATGAAGAGGGAGTTTGGAGGGAGGGTTAATTCCAACATCGTGAATGACTCTTTGGTTCCCACTGGTCCTCCTCCTCCTCCTCCTCCTCCTCCTTTCTCCGCCTCGTACCTCCTCCTCCTCCTCGACGTTTGAGGGACCTGGAACTTTGAACGTGTTACGGTGAAGATGACCTCATGGTGGGGATGTGCGGTTGTTCTTCTTCGGTCAGTTCTCTTATGTTACCGAGGTCCTCTTTTGCGCAGCACTTCTTGCCGCCCCCCATGGCAGGTATCGGAACTCTGCAATTTTTTCACGTCGGAGATGCAGTTCTCGACCGAGGAGGCAGGCTGAGTGTCACGAGAGCGGCATGGCGATTCCAGCGACAACGGCGACGACGAGAACGACGGCGGCCATAACAAAAGGGGCGGCATTGCTCATGACGGCGACGATGATGGCAAAGATAATGATGACGACGACGACGATCACAATGATGATGACACGATGATGACGATGGGGTCAGCTACGGCCCCAGTGTTGCGAGACCGAGTGAGGGTTGGGCAGCCCAGAGGCGAGCACAAGCGAAGTGACCCAAGGGCGATTACATACTGCTGATGCTGCTGCTGCGCGCAGGTGCTTGTGCAAAGTCGCAGTTTTGAACGTGCACGCCGCAGGCTTCAATCTCCGATCCAAGAACACACGAAACCGCAACCTGCAAGAGAAGCGTACCCACAAGGACTAGGGATGTGCGTTTTGTATACGCGGTCCCTTCGTGCCTGGGCCATGTACAGAACTGTCGGTGTCCGAGCAGAGACCTGGGCAATACCGCCATAGATCCAGCAGTTGTTACGACCTGCTCCCCTCTTCTCTTGCATTCG